AAATCGTAGAACTGTACACCAAAAGGAAGATAAATCAATTTTACAGTATAATTTAAAAACAAAAATTAAGAAAGAACTCAAAAAATCAAATATCAAGGAAAGCAAGATATCTTCCATTATTTGAAATATCTGACAGAACATATTAGCATAAATAAAGTCAACGTGGGAGGAAGGAAAGAAATGATAGAATCTTAGATTCTCATAGATTAATCCAGAGTTGGTGAATGTGATTACAGCAGCTTGTATTTCTGAAGATGGCCACAACAATATGTGCCAGCCTTCTTGCTTTTCTAGGAATCTGAAACTCTTTCATGAAGAATATGTCCCTATCACTTGTATCTGTGACTACCTAGCCCAAGAGAATATGGAAAACAATTTCTCTGTGATTATTAAGGCCAAGTCATAAAAATGCTATGCACTTCCTCCTTGTTCTCTTGGAACATTTGCTCTTAGAATCCAGTCACTGTATTGTGAGGAACTTAAAATAATCCATGGAAAGACCTATGTGAAAAGGAACTGATATCTCTGCCCACATACCTGGGTCATCTTCCAGCCAATAGGGTGCACCACCTTGCCAGCCATGTGAGAGTGCCATCTTGAATATGGTCAATCTAGTTGGTATTACATAGAGCAGAGAAGAACCAAGCTGTCAAACTCACACAGATATTTATGAGCAAAATAAGTGATTGCTGTTGGGCCCAGTATGTTTGAGGCCTAATTACTAAATTTTGAGTAGCTTATTCAGAACAAAAGAGAACTAATATGATATTTTTACTCACTTATCAATACAAATGAATCATTGGACCTTTCTAAAAGGTGTTCAGAAGAATTTCTGGGATAGGATGAGGTTTAGAGGGAAAGAGTACATGATTGATTAGTGAAGTTAACTTTTGGGCATAGTACTGAGCAATGGCACCAGTACTGTTGTGTTGGCATTTGATATCCTCACTTGATATAATTGGATAAAACAGAATGCAGGCAGTTTGTGATCGTCTCAAGATCACACAGATATTGAATAGTGGAGCCAAAGCTTTAAATCAGATCTTTGACTTGAAGTTTAGTATTTCCTCCACTTTGTCATGTTCCTTCCCAATAACAGATTCTGGGGACCTAACATAGAGAACGTAGAGCTACAGATATATTCTTCTATTTTCCTCTCCCATGCTTGTAACAGACATCATTAGCTAAGTATAGCACTTTCCTAAGGTCACTGTGATGTATATGGGTGATAGATTCCAAATTGCCATGGCTGAGAATCTGAGCAAAAAAAAAAAAAATACAAGAATTACCACTAATTTGAATCATGAGTGTCAGAGGAGTACAACAAGGTGGGCTTAAAATATAGGCTGTAAAAAGGTTGGTACAGAAATGCAATGTGTGTGAGCAGGAAAGCAGGCTTCAGACATGACTGGTCTGTATCAAGGATGTGAGTCTGAAATGACATAAACTTACTTCTGACAGAATCTACTAAGGCATTGCTTCTCACATCTTTGGGGAACTCTGCTTGTCGACATTTTTATTTTTTTATTTTCAGTTGTAGATGGACATGGTACCTTTATTTTATTCATTTATTTTTATGTGGTGCTGAGGATCGAACCCAGTGCCTCACTTGGGAAGCAAGTGCTCTTCCACTGAGCTACAGCCCCAGGCCATGCTTATAGATCTTATTAGGCTTTTATGAATATTTTAAAATTTATTTTGTTGTAGTTGAAGGAAAACCTGTTATTTTAGTTAAAATGTTGCAAGTATAAAATTTGGCCTCAGTATGGTATATGGTGGAATTGGAATGCATACAACACAGCAGGACTGAAAAAAAGTGTCCACTTTGAAGTGCCTTTTTTTTTGTACCAAGAATGGAACCCAGGGGCACTTAACCACTGAGCTACATCCCCAGCACTTTTTACATTTTATTTTGAGACAGGGTCTCCCTAAGTTGCTTAGGGCCTCACTAAGTTGCTGAAGCTGGCTTTGAACTTGTGATCCTTCTGCCTCAGCCTCCTGAATCGCTGGGATAATAGGCACCAACCACCATGCCCAGGCAAGATTCTTCTTCTTTATAGTGCATTGTCATTATCTGAAAATAAGGTAAAATCAGAAAAAAAAAATAGACCCATTTCTAAGGTAATGATCTAAAGGTTGAATATGGGCACTGTAGATTATAGTGTATCTGAGAACTGGATTCATGTTCATCCAATTAGGACCAAGAGTGGAGCTTCTTTGAACTTGATCATAGAGGATCCAAACATCCTGAGTATGTAACTGTTATAAAACTCCTCCAAAAACAATGATCACTTTCCTCCTGCTGCGATTTTGAAGGGTACAGGGGTGGGATTAGATATGACATTTATTTGAGTAAAACAAGTAACCAAGTGTCGTCATTCATTTGTTTGTTCACTAAATACCTGGTAAATGCAAGCTATTTTGTTAGACACTATGGGGAATACAAAGATGAAACAGGGCTTTTGTATTCAAAGGTTCTCTAACAGGAACCCCATCATTGTGTTAACAAAGTAGGATTTGAGAACATGAGCCTAGTGAGTTAGACATGGCCAGAGGCCAGTACAGATATGCCAGTGATATACAAACAGAAGATCAATGGACTTAATCCTTAGACGTATGATATGTCATTACAATGGTCTACGTAGGCATCGGGCATCAAAAATATTAATAAAAATATTAACAGTATGCTTCTTTCTCTTTCTTTATACATAGATCTCACTATCATTGAAAAAATTATGAATTGCTGGGTCACTTAGATACATTACTGTGCTCTTAGGAAATGTTTCTGGTTATGAAATTCTTTAATCAGATCCACTTTCAGATTCACAGTATAGGCTTATTCTTTTTTTATTTATTTGTTTATTTTTTTTTAGTTGTTGATAGACCTCTATTTATTTATACGCAGTGCTGAGAATCAAACCCAGTGCCTCACACATGCCAGGCAAGTGTGCTACCACTGAGGCATTCTTAACAAGTGTTCTTTTCAGAAAAATATGCAGTGAATGTGGCAAAACAGAAATATAATGTTCTTAGAGATGGATTAGTTCACCTCACAATTAAATTCTCCTTTTTCGTACTTGAACTTTATTCTTCTGGAAATTTCTGTGTCCACATCAAATTTTTAGAAAGGTGAACACCATCATTTATTCACAAATCTTCAAGGATTAGAGACATGCTTGTTATATCTTTTCAGGTTTTGCATGCTGTGTTTGGGAGTTGTTGGTTTATACTTTCCCTGATATTTTCTACAGTACCATACCTCAGTGCTTTCAACTGGGTTTTCCTTATACTAGCAACTTGCATTTCAATATGTAATCTTAAACCAACCACTTCTAAAAGTCCTATAGTATCTGGTAGATGCCAGAGCACTGGAACAAGACAGAAAAGAATCAAAAGAACGAAAATAGGCTTTGGAATTGGTCCACTCAGATGCCAGGTAAGATCTCTGCCACTCCCTGTGTGACCTCAAGTGAATTACTTAATCTCACCAAGCTTCATTTTGCTCATCTGTAAAATAGGGATAAAATGCATATAGGTCATTATAAGAATTAAGTAGGATAATAAGAAAGCAGAGAGTCTCATACATAGTAGACAACCTTTAACTACCCTACTCCTTCACTTCTTCCTAAAAACAATGATAAAGCTCAGGACTTAATCACTAAAGCACACAAACAGCTGCAGCTGCAGACTGGTCAGGTCCCAACCAACTTTTCTGACACTGATAAGTAGAAGATTTGGTATTTATCCCTTTTCTTCTTAATGAAAAAAAAAAAAATGCACCCACCATTATGAAAAATGAAAATTTGAGAGAAAAAAACATCCATAATTCCATCTTCCTAGTACACGACTATTTCCATGTTTTATCATGGTCTGGCTTTTATACAAAATGGTCACATTTTCACCACAGCTGCAATCAGGGTGTGTTTATCTTGGCACAATCTCTTTTAAGGTACCGGTAGATTTATTCCAGGTGATAGTGGGAAGCAGCTGAAGATGAGAGAATGGAAGGCTGCGGGGGTGTAAAAGTTCTCTTATGATACTGTTCAAACCTTTCTTCAGCATAGAAACTCCACAAAGAACTCCTCTGCAGTTTTCGTTACCCAGGGCTGTTCCTTTAAATTGTTTGACGTCAGAGAAGGAATGCTATAGCAACAGTCTGTCAAACTGGAATTAACTCAAAAGAAAGATGGGGGTGGGGAAAGGAAAAATGCTCCCAGGCGGTACTGACTTCAGAGGAAGCAATTTGGATAGATGCATTTATTTTATGACATTTTCAACATAAAACACCCAGAGAATTGCGCAAAAAAAAAAAAAAAAAAAAAAAGTCGATTGAGATGCGTGTGGTGTTTAACTCACACAGACAAGAGGGGCTTGGCAGGGTTAAATGGAAGGCCTTCCGGTTTTGTCAGTGACAATAGTAACAATAACTTCCAAGAATTGATCGTTTATTTAGAGGCACGTTGCGTGCAAATGTGTCAGGTAATATTTTTCAGCACCTTTATGAGGCAGGTATCACTGTCCTTATTTTGCCAGTGACAAAACTTATGACTCCGAGAGGATATAGGCTGTCACACAACTAGTGATGGGAGGACTGGGACTGCAAAGCAATTGGGTATGACTCCGGGCTTCACTTTCCCACAATTTAGAATTCCAGAATGTTAAACCTAAACAGGACCTGGGGGTCGTCTCGCTCAATCCGTGAGCAAACCGACGCCCGTAGTGTCAGGAAGGAAAGTGACCACAGTACTTAGACGGGCTCTACTCTACTGAGTGCTCCGACATCCAGGCGCCGCACCAAGAAAACGAAACTGCAGTGGAATTAATGTTTTTCTTCTCCTTCTAGCAGGAAACGAGAAAGAAAATAGGAAGCAGAAGCTGCGGGCGGCGCCCGCTCCCTGCGACCCCTGCTGGGGTCCCGCGCGCTCCAGGATCCGCGCGCGCCCGTAGCGCGCCTCCGCCCGCCCCCAGCGCGCCTCGTGCCTCGAGCCTCGCGCCACGTCCCCGCCCCGGGCCGAGCCGCGGAGTTGGCTGCTGGGCGGAGTGGCTGGGTGTGGTCGGTGGCTCTGGGCTTGGCGGTGCGCTGTGCTCTGCACGCCGGCTCCGCGCTCGAGGGCCAGCAGAGCGCAGAAAGGACCCGGCCAGCGCCAGGGCGACGCGGGCCGAAGCTCCCTCCAGGTAGGTGTCGAGAGCGCCAGCTGCTACTCGTCGGTGCGCCTCGCTAGGGGACTCCGGACTTTCCGCAGGGGATGTGAGGCGCCGCGGGAGCGCCGTTCACGGAACCGCCGTCACGGAACCGGCCCGGGTGGCGGCTCGGCGCGGGGCTGGGCTGGGCTGGGTTCCTCCTGACTCCCAGACGGGGCCCTCCGGTGGCCGACACAGCGGGAGAGGGACGGGGCGAGTGCGCCCTGAGTGCGCTCCGCTACCGCGCAGGGAATGGCCACTCCGCCACTGTCTTGGGCACTTTGGGGGCTGCTTCGACAGCTCGCTCAGGGAGACACCCCCAGGGTCCTCTCTACGTCTTGAGGCCTCCTCCAAGGGACTTAGCAAGCCCCTGTTTGCCTCGAAGACAGCAATTATCCCGGGCTGCCCAGGAGTGTTATTGGCTGGAGAGCAGTGGAAAAGCTCACAAAAGTTCTCTGCTAAGAGCCAAAATCAATCCAGTAGTTTCGTGTCAAATTTATTTTTAAAATGATATAATGTCCAGTGTTATTTTTTTTTGGGGGGGGCAGACTAATGGATTTTGAATATTCTCAAGTTCTGTACAATGAGAAAGTGTTTTTCCTTTTCTCTCCACATTTTTTTCTTCTTCAAAGCACAAAGGATTGCCTTAGACTTTGACATTTATTGCTATTTAATAAGGGAAGATTGGATTTCCAGAAGTTAAACCCAGGCTTTTATTGTTTATAGAAGCATGGTTTGTTTATTTTGCATCTATCCCTCTACCCTTTTCTCCCACTCTTTCTCTTTCTCTTTCAGTAAAGGATGGGTATCTTTCTCTTCAGCCACTGACAGAATAGCCAGGAGTATGGATTAGCACCCTACCAGGAAGTTTTCTTAAGACATTGGAATTTAATTGTTGACTCTCTGACATCTCATTGTTGCAAACTAAGATTGTGACCTTTAAGTACATCTACACTGCTTACACAAGATAAAAGGGAAGTAATTTCTAGTGGTAAATTATATACATTTAAAATTGTACGCTTAAGTCTGCGCATTTTAATAGTCATTAGCGTGGAGTTTTGGTTTATCGGTGCTTCAAGGCTTTGAAAGCTTATTGCATATTTCAGTATTTGGTTAAGGATCATTCAATATTTTTCATGTTGCATTTTGGTTTGTAGATGAACTTGAAACAAATATAAGCGTTTAAAATGTTTTATAAAGATCGTCAACCTGTGAATACACATTTTAAGTTTACAAACCTAACCAGTATAGTTGTGATACATTTAGGTTATCTCTCTGTAAACACACACACACACACAGTATAGGAAGTTATTCAAAGTTATTGGACTTTGTTAACCTGTAAATTTTTTTAAAATAATTGATGCTTAAGTATGTCCACACATATTTTTACACTTTAAAAATAGACTCTGGGAAAATTTCAAAATTAAAAATTGGAACTAAGTGTTGGACATTTTTCTGCCTGTATCAAATACTGCCTGAGGCGGTGTGATTTCTAATTTCTTTCAGGCATGTTATAGAAGTCAGATGGCTGTTATAGTTTATTTACCTTGCTGACTAATTTATTCTGCATTTATTATAGAAGTTGCTTACTAATCATCTATCTTGGGCCAGTGACAGTGCTTTACTTTATTTATATTTCAATAACTTGGAAAAGGAGACATTATCTACTAATACAGGCAAGGAAACTGTCTGCAAGATGTTAAGGAGCTTTCCAGTGGTCACTGTTTAACTCAACTGGGGTTCAAGGCAGGATCTGAAGTTCATGTTCTTTCCTCTGTGTCACATTAACTTAGTGCCAAGGCAAGAGGAATGATCCACAATTACTCATTAAAATATGCATAACATTTCCAAGATATACCAGAGCTGCGAGTTGGTCTTTCCAGCATGATTTGTACTATTCATCCATGTTACTCTATAGATCAGCCATTCTGTCACTCTACTCCTGTTAAATATCTTGTTTAAAGTTCAGAACCTCCTTCTTGTTGGAATGTATCTTACTGACATTAATAGGTAATTATGACTTACTTATCCTTCCAAAATAATGATCCCATTTTAATCTGAATTCTCTTGTCACAGAGATATAACTAATTTGTCAGGTTACAAACAGGGTGATACCTATTTTGGAATATGGGAACCTTTTGATATCCTTCAAATTAAACCAAGAGATATTTTGATAAATATTTACCCTTGCGATTATTCCTTCTCATTTTCAAATTTTCAGTTTCTGTGGAATCATTTATGTTCTATGTAAACATACTCATGTCTCCCATCTTATAGTGAATTAAAAAAAAAAACAGTAAGTATTCTACTTCAGTGATTACCTCATTTCTCTGCTTCACCTTGCCTAATTCTTTGACAGAACAAAAGTCAATACAGGATAGCTGGGCATAGTGGCCCACACCTATAATCCCAGTGATTTGGGAGGCCAACGCAGAAAGATGCAACATTGAGGCTAGCTGGGGCAATTTAGAGAAGCAGGATCACAAGTTTGAGGCCAGAAGGAAGAATTGAGCGAGACCCTACCTCAAATTTTAAAAAACAGGGGGCTGGGGTTGTGGGTCAAGGATAGAGTGCTTGCCTAGAATGTGTGAGGCACTGGGTTTGATCCTCAGCACGGCATAAAAGTAAATAAAATAAAATAAAGGTATTGTGTCTATCTACAACTAAATTTTTTTTTTTAATTTAGAAAATTTTTAAAAATGAGCCAGGGATGTAACTCAGTGGTAGAGTATCCCTGGTTTCAATCCCCTGTGTCATCAAAAATTGTTTTTTAAAATAAATTGATACAGGAAAGGTAGCCAGAAACCAGTTAGTTTCCTATATCAGAGTGAGTAGAAACTGAATAAAGTGAAATTTTAAAAGAATGACATACCTTCTTGTGTGATTTTGAATTTTGGAAACTTGTTTATCTTTTACATGTTCAAAAATAAAATTAACAAGATGGGGGAGTGCACTTTAAAATCGAATACAAACAATTAAAAAAATGAGCCTCCTGTATTTCAATGAATAGCCTGAACTCTCAGAAGGGAAAAAAAAATGAATCCAAGTAAGTTTTGAACATAGGACTTTGACTATATGCCCTTAATCTAAAGACAAAAAGAACTGAGAAACATCTTGAACTCCGCATACGAGGCTGTTTTTTGTATGGTAGAGGTATAGCAATTCTGAAACTATTTTGTGTGTCTTTTAGGATTGAGCAAATGAACAAATTCATTACATTTGGGAGCTAGAGTTTTTACTCTGGGAGAAGAAAACTAAAAATGTGGAATGGATTTTCTCATGTTATTCAGTGGGTTATAATATATTACCATCATTATTCATTTTGATGCTCAAATTTCCCTAGATCTGGCCTCTGGGAGCTCCTTTGAATTAATTCCTATATTCTTTGGTTGCTGTTTTGAGACAGGGTCTCACTACGTTACCCAGGCTGGTCTTGGACTCCTGGCCTTAAGCAATCCTCCCTACTCAGCCTCCAGAGTAGCTGGGAATACATGCAGGTGCTGCCATGATAGACACCTATTTCCTTCTGACATGCCCAACTTAAAAAAATAAAAATAAAAAACTGTCTTACTTTGTGGCACAAAATGTTCAAGGCTCATATTCCCCTATTGCAGCTCTGGAAACAGCCTTTTTGATAGGGACATTAGCTGTATTAGCTGCTACTCTAGGCATCATTACTCCTAGGCCCTTTCACCAGACAGAGCAAGGAAACATCATGCACATCTGCAGCAGCACATATGTGTATATATATTTTAATTCTGAGTTCACGTTGATGCCATGAATCCTGTCCAACAACAGAGTGTTCTTTAGTGCCTTCTTCCATTCCACATTTTTAGTTCTCTTCTCCCAGAGTGAAAACTCTAGCTCCCAAATATAATGAATTTATTCATTTGTTCAGTTCTACCAGACACACAGAACAGTTTCAGAATTGCTATGCCTCTACCTCGTTATCTTCCTGCAAGTTAGTTTCTGCCTTAGGACCTTTGCATTTACTTTTGTTTCTGCCTGATAAGCTTTCCTCTTTTAAGGCATAGCTCATTTCCTCACTCCATTCAGCTTTACTTAGATTAATTAATTTAAAAATGAACTTTCTAGTTACCCTCCAAGTTGTTGTAATTATTTTTTTTAAGTACTGGGGATTGAAACCCGGGGTGCTTTACCACTGAGCCACATCCCCAACCCTTTTCATTTTTTGAGATAGGGTTTTAGGGTCTCACTAAGTTGCTGAGGGTTTTGCCAAGTTGTTTGGGATCCTCCTGTCTCAGCCTTGTGAGTTGCTGGAATTTCAGGCCACACCACCATGCCCCACCAACTTCTGATAGTTTTCCCCTTATTCCCTGTATACTACCTATCTGTATTTAAAAACATGCAATTTGTTTATGTGCTTCACTATCTCCCAAACTGATACAGAAGAAAGTGCTGCAACAATTGAAACTTTTGTTTGTTTTGTTTACTACTGAATCACTAGAGCCTAAAATATGCCTGGTATGTGGCTGAGACTCAGAATTGTTGAATGAATTCTTGAATTTATATTTGCCAACTCGTTGTTACATTTTAGCCAAAGTTATTTTAATCAGGCAAGACAGTGTCCAGAGAATCATACAGCATTAATGCTATTTAAGGTCTTTTGGTGAAGCTACTAACACTTCTCTGGAAGCCCGTAAGTTACTAACTTTAATATCTTTACCTATCTTTTGTCTGCCCTCTGCTGGAGGTAATACTAATAATGAGAATAGATCCGTAGGAAAAATCAAAAATGGAAAAACCTGGATCACAAACTGAATAATTAACTTTGAAAAAATTAAACCAGTTTGAAATTTTTAATTTAAGGTAAGCCTCCAGGTTAATCATAATGTAATTGAAAAGAATGGACAGTAGTTAGATTGTATAGCTAAGGATGAAAAAATAGACATCCAAAATATTTTAATTACTTAAAAACACTTTCTGCTCAAATATACTTCCTTTTCCTTAAAGTATTTTTAATATTTTCCCAC